TAAGTTATGTTTTAAACTATTTAGCCCAAAGAAGTTGTTCTTAAATTCAAGAGATTCAAACCCTAAATCTTTCTAGATTTAGATTTCTGAATTTCCCTAGATCTTTCTAGATCTGTTACCGCTTTTTCTCTACTCGGCCATCGGCATCGCCAGGTTTTATTAACGAGAATTTTTTCCAAATTTTCATCCCTCTTCTCTTCAATCCTTTACAATTTTCATTTTGCTCAGCTGCTTCAGCGCATTATTTGAAGATGATTAAAGAATGTAAAAGAGTGTTATTGATGAAAAATTGTTGACATTTTTGCTTTTTCCTTTTATTGATTTGTTTAAAGCGATGCTCCAAACGCTTAATACTCAAAATTAAAGCGATGATTTCAATTTTAACAATTTGGAAATCGTTTGAATCGATAAGATAATGAAAAGTAATATTGGCTTGATCATAAAATAATCGTTTACAATTTCTATAGGGTGTGTGAAAAAGTAATCCACGTTTTTAACGTTTATGCGGTATCCATTTGTCCAACTTTTTGATAAAATTCACTTGGCATTCAAGCATTTCCCTACGATTGACCCATCACAATTTAATGTAAGGCCTATTTCTGAAGAGGTTGAGACAGGTTTTCGAGAGACAGCGTCTTGTTTGGTCATCCGAACAGGTCTCAGGGCGACCGCCGTGGTTCATCTTCTAGACTTTCATTGCCACCTTTGAATCGTTGCAGTAAAGCCTAGTCGTATCATCGATAGCGGCGTGTTCGTCAAACGCATTCCGAATTCGACGTGACATGCCTCTGCACGCTTTCAACCCATTTTTGAACTCTTAAAAAAAATTTGACCGAATAACGATACTTGTGTATACCATTTTCAAACTAAATTAAGAGTAGTTTATTGTCCGATCCTTTAACAGAAATGGATATATCATTCGAAAGAGGAAAAAATAAGCTTTTAAACGATATATATGTCGTAACCGTTTACCAAATTCATCCGCTAACGAATGAGGGTATTTCCGGGAATCCAATCAAAAGTCACCCACATAAAAATGTTCATAATACATATATTTTATAATAAATTTTGAAATTAGCTCATTTGGTTCCAGTAGAAAATTTTTTTTAAGCCCCAAAGTTTAGGTTCAAAAATACCCTAAAATGGCTATAAAATTTTCTACTCAGCAAATAAACTTGCCCTAATAGCTCATTTTGTAGCCAATTTGATCTAGTTTCTTAAAGTAAAGCTACATTGAATATTTGTTTTTCAAAGCTAGAAGAAGAGGGCGAGGAACGACTTCAGTTGAACTCGGTCGCCGTTTTCACATTTGAGCATTGCCCTGAATTTGTTCCTCGCTTCTTTCTCCTACTTTCAACGAAAAATTGTTTTAGATGAGCTTTACTTTAAAAAACTAGATCAAATTGGCTACAAAATGACTTATTAGGCAAATTTGGCTGAGTAGAAAATCTTTATAGCCATTTTAGTGTATTTTAACCTAAACTTTGAGGGCTAAAATAAAATTTTCTACTGATTCCAATGAGCTAATTCAAAAATTTCTCATAAAATATGTGTATTAGGAACATTTTTCATGTGGGTGATTTTCTGATTGGATGCCCGGAAATACCCTCATTCGTTAGCGGCCGAATTTCGTAAACGGTTACGATCTAATAGGTTGATGCATAAGTGTTTTCGTTTTTTTCGTACTTCTGTTAAAAGTAACAAATTCACCAATTAATCTATAGTTTGCTCTATAAAAAAGTGTTTTTTGTTCAATTTGCATCTTTTTAAATGAATTTCGGTTCACTTTCAAGCAAATTCGAGAGTGAAAAACGCCTTTTTCGTAAAAATCTATAAAAAACTCTACGGAAAAATTGGCTGAATGAATTTCTCTGAAATTTTGGCGGAAATATCAAACGTTTTTTTCTCTATCTTTTATCTATTGACACGAAGATAGGTTTTCTTTAGCTAAGGTGTCTAAACCGCATCATCGAGTTAGCCCTTTTTGACTACCCGACTTCATACTCTCAAGAAAATCCAGGCATTAAATATTTTTAAACCCGTTTTAATGTTATTTTGCAGAAAAATAATTGCTTTTTCTAATGAAATCAACCGTAGTTTAATTGGTGCATTTGTTGGCTTGAAACGGCAGACGAAAAGGAACGAAAAGACTTATGCATCAACCTAATATATATCGTTAACAAAAATTAAAAATTGTTTAGATATATTTATTTAAACAAAATAAAAATAAAAAACGTGGATTACTTTTTCACACACCTAATACTACAATTACAATTCAAACAATCTATAATTACAATTCAAAAAAATCCAAATTTCAAAGTCATTATCTCAAATTTGATAAGTTCAAAGTGAAAGCAAGAGTTACAGTTGAAGAATAACTAAAATTTTATGATAATCATTGATTGAATCTATTCAAGAATCTATTCAAGAATATTTCTTATTTATATCTAAAAAAGAAAACTGTCCATAATTTCATTGAAAATTTCCAAAGTTTCACTTTTTTTTCTGCTTCCTCTTTCTTTCTGCTTCCTTCTTTCCTTCGAAATGACACAAGCCAAATTTGCTGATAAAATCGGAGGTCAGCTTGTCAAAAATCCCCAAATCACCAGCTTTACAAAATTTCGTTTCATTATGCGTCTAAAAGAAACTAACAAATTCGATGTGGATCTTTTCGAGCGTTTTCGGATCACAAAGGAATTTGGATTCCTTGAAGTGAGCCCATTGCAGAAATTGTCGCCGGAATTTCAACCGTGGATTGATGCGTGTGGTTGGTTGTAAACTTATAGTCAATCTATCCATCATGTCCTTGTCTATCATAAATTTGTACCTGTTTATGTTGTAGAAAATCCTTTTTTACTCAATACTATTGCCAAAATTTCTTTAACTCCACTAATATCCAGATTGTCCAGAAAGTCTTTTCTTTTCTTTTCATACTTTCGTTTAAAACCAACAAATGCACCAATTGAACTACGGTTTATTTCATCAAAAAATTCAATTATTTTTCTGCAAAATAAAATTAAAACGGGGTGAAAATGTCTTATTTCCTGGATCTTTTTGGGAGCTGATGAAGTCGGGTAGTCAAAAAAAGCCGGATGATTGTTTTTCTTGGAATTTCAAAGGGTTTAACAAACTCCAAATTTAATAGATTTCGTTATTAACAAGGAAACAAATGAAAATTGTGGCAGAAATGATAATTGCAATGCAATAATTCAGAAATTAATTTCTCCGACTCTTGTTTCACATTAAATATTTTGAAACATGCTTTTTTTCATATTTGACCATAGATGTTTTTTTAGTAAAAAACTTAACTTTTTACTTAAAATTCTTGAAAAAACACTCAAAAAATATAAAAATTCTATTAAAGTGCATAAAGGATGGGTCGTTTTAAGGAAAAATTTTGTTTATTCTTTACGCTGAATAGCTTTGGTGATTGTTTGGCTGTCCAGGAAGTCTTTTCGTTTCTTTTCGTTTCTTTTCATACTTTCGTTTAAAACCAATAAATGCACCAATTGAATTACGGCTTATTTCATTAGCAAAACCAACTATTTTTCTATAAAATAACATTAAAACTAGTTTAAAATGCCTTTGTCTGGATTTTTTGAGAGCATGAAGTCGGATAGTCAAAAAGACGGCTCGATGATTCGATTTAGACACTTTAGCTAAGGAAACCTATCTTTTGTGTCAATAGATAAAGATAGAGCACAAAGCGTTAGGTATATAGCCTAATTTTCAGAGAAATTTATTTAGCCAATTTCTCTGTAGAGGTTTTTACAGATTTTTGCGGAAAACACGATTTTCCCTTTCGAATTTGCTTGAAAGTGAATCAAACTTGACTTAAAAAGGTGGAAAATTGAAAAATAAACATTTTTTATTAAGAGGAAACCATAGGTTAAATTGGTAAATTTGTTATTTTTCAACGAAAGTACGAAAAGGAACGAAAAGACGCTCTCGACAGCCTAATATTTTGCTATTAACCATTAAACTTATCAAATGACACGTGGATAGTATCATTAGAAAACTCACTTATTTCTCTACAAAATCATATTTGAAATAGAACTTAAAAAGCGCCTCAAAAAAAGATGAAAATTGTGAAAATTGAAAAACTTCAATTTTTGATCAAATTCGTTCCAAAAATTGCCCAAATTTGCTTAAGCAACTTCTTTCTTCTTTTCTTTCAACTTCTTAAATTCGATAATATATAAGTTTTAGAGGATTTTAATTCAATTCAATATTAAATCTGTTTTCTTGGAAATAAGAAAAAGTGTATCAACTTTCAAGTTGCCAATCTAATCTAATCTAATACTAATGCAAGTTACCAATCTAATACTTGTAATTTAAACCTTTAAATCTTTAAACCTTTACCTTTAAACCTTTACTTTTAAACCTTTAAACCTTTAAATCTTTAAACCTTTAAACCTTTAAACCTTTAAACCCTTAAACCTTTAAATCTTTAAACCTTTAAACCTTTAAACCTTTAAATCTTTAAACCTTTAAACCTTTAAACCTTTAAACCCTTAAACCTTTAAATCTTTAAACCTTTAAACCTTTAAACCTTTAAACCCTTAAACCTTTAAATCTTTAAACCTTTAAACCTTTAAACCTTTAAACCCTTAAACCTTTAAATCTTTAAACCTTTAAACCCTTAAACCTTTAAACCTTTAAATATTTACCTTTAAACCTTTAAACCTTTACCTTTAAACCTTTACTTTTAAACCTTTAAACCCTTAAACCTTTAAATCTTTAAACCTTTAAACCCTTAAACCTTTAAACCTTTACTTTTAAACCTTTAAACCTTTAAACCTTTAAACCTTTAAACCTTTAAACCTTTAAATCTTTACCTTTAAACCTTTAAACCTTTACCTTTAAACCTTTACTTTTAAACCTTTAAACCTTTAAATCTTTAAACCTTTAAAACTTTACTTTTAAACCTTTAAACCTTAAATCTTTACCTTTAAACCTTTACTTTTAAACCATTAAATCTAATTTAAACAACTTCAAGTTTGAAATATTATTCTTTAATAAGCAGATGAATTAAGGATTGCAAACATTGCTTTCTAAAAGCTTAGTTTCAAATTTCCTTTAACTCGTTGAGTGTTCGGGAAACGTTTTGAAAGTTTAAAAAGATTAAACTTGATATTATGATCGATATTATTGATATTTGTGTGGTTTCTCTAAAAGTTATCTGTTCAAGTTTAAACTCTAAAATTCTAAAGCATATTAACGTGAAAACTCTCTTCGTTCTCTTGAAAACTTTGAAACACAAAAGAAAAAATTTCCAGCTAAAATCCCTGAGTGGATCAAAAATGGGACGATTCGCGAGAATTTACACGAATTACCGGAGATTTCGACTGATTCCCTAAAAAGCCACGAAGAGTTTCGATTTGCGCATTTATTGCTCTGCACAATGGAAACGGCTTTCGTTTGGGGTTTTGGTGAGGAAAGGGTGAGTTTCAGAAAGTGAACCTTGTCACATTGTTCTCGAAATTTTTGATATTTTTCCTTTTACGTGAGATCTTCACAAAGCTTCAAAAAAGAACACAAGCTAACCCTATTTTTATACAATAAACCGTTTTCGTTTATCGGACATTTGATAGGGCGCCGCGCCCCTTTTGCCATTGACAATCCAACTTTGAGCTCAAATATCTTGGTGTTGGGCTATTCAATTTACAAATTATTGGTATTATTAGATGCGCTAAGCCTTTCTCTATCGATTAGTAAACTATTTAAATTGAACAGCTCAACACCAAGAAATTTGAGCGCAAAGTTAGATTGCTGATGGGAAAAGGGGCGGGGCGCGTATAAAAGGTGTCCCACCGCCTCGCCCCTTTGCTATTGGCACTAGAAATGCACTTCTGTTTGGTCTTAGGTGTAAACTGATTTGGACTAGAATTTGGGTTAGGCTAAAGAGAGTGGAACCTTTTGATATCCTGTCATATCTAACGATTGTGGAATATTTGATATGCGCCCCGCCCCTTTTCCCAACATCAATCTAACTTTGAGCTCAAATATCTTGGTGTTGGGCTGTTCAATTGATAAATTATTGGTATCATTGGATGCTCCAAGTCTTTCTCTGTCGATTCGTACAAAAACTATTTCAATTGAACAGCTCAACACCAAGAAATTTGAGCGCAAATTTAGATTGTCAATGGCAAAACACCCCGCCTATTAGGGGGGAAAAAACCAATTTTCATACCATCAAAACATGAAACTTTACTTTTGCCAAAGCCACGTCTGATCTGCCTTTTGCCAAACCTTTGATCTAATATGTGGGAATTTCTTGATCACACCATTTAACTTTAAATAATTTCTCTTATTTTTAGGCTACTTCGATTCTGCCACGACAACTGGCTGTGCCACTGTATGAGGTGTCTTTAAGTGTTAAATGCGCATAAAAATCCATACTTTATACAAAAACCTAATACATTTTAGGTTTCAAAGCGATTAGATGTTCCTCCAGTTGTCGCACATTTAACGGGATGTTTAGCGAATTGGAGGAAAATCGATGGGAACGGCCCGTGGGAACCGGAGAACTTAGAGGTGGATTGAAAAATTCAAGTTTCATGTTTTAGGACCTGAAATTAATCGGGTTTTATTAGTTCTTACGATTTGGTATTATGAAAATTGTTTGAATTTGAATTAATCGACTGCTCGCTGGCCGCGCAAGTATCAAGCGATTTTCCGGCTTGGGGAAAATTGTCGTCGTGGCCGAGGGATTAGTGCGTCAGACTGGCAGGTCTTTGGGGGGCTAGGGGGTGACTGGTTTGAGTCCTGCCTTGGTGCAAGGTTTTCGTTTTGTAAGAAATTCTTGATAAAGTCTTTACTGTGAACTTTACTGTGTAAACTTTCATTCAGCTAATCGCCTTCAACTTCAGCGAACTCCGCGGAGAGCACTGGTTTTTCGTGCTCACAGCTCAGGTTTGAATTGGGAGATGAAAGAAGGAAAAGAACAAGAACAAGAACAAGAAAAGAACAAGAACAAGAACAAGAACAAGAACAAGAAGAAGAACAAGAACAAGAAAAAGAACAAGAAAAGAACAAGAATAAACTTCTACTTTACAAATTTTTCAGATCGAAAAAGATTTCGCTGCAGCGATTCACAAAATCGCGGAAATTTGCTTGAAAGTCGAAAAGTTGGAAGTGATCAATGAAGAAGAATTGGTTTCAACGCTGCGACAAATGCGAATTTCGATTCGAGAGGCCACAAATACTTTGAAAGTCGATTTTAATCATTACAGGTTTTAGGTTGAGAAATGAAAAATCAGTTAGGAATTCTAGGAGAAGAAATTTTGAATTTTGAAGAAAGAGGCTACTTTGTTAACCTTTCCAACGCTTTCATTTAAAAAATGATGCGATTAAAATTGAAACACAAGAACATTTTCTCGTTTACACTTTAAAGAGAAAACAAACTCGTTGCAGAGAATGCCCGAACACCTAAAACCGAGCGATTTCTTCTACAAAGTTCGCCCGTTTTTATGGGGCTACAACGAGGGATCGATCAAAGAGACGGGAATCATTTTTGAAGGTTTGAAAAAGTCGTGTTTCAAAGTGGAGTAGATAAGGTACTTTGAAAAAGCAATAGTTCCTTGCCGTATCAGTTCTCTGCGCTACATTTTGTGCTCAAAAATGTAGACACACTCTTTCTAGTGCACTCATTTCTTCATTTTCCTTGTGAAACCAGTCGTTACTGTGAAGAAAAATGAAGAATTGAGTGCCCCATAAAGGATGCATTTACCAATTTTCAAGCACAAAATACACCCAAATCAAAACAACACTTTCCAGGCCTCGAACATTTGGGCGCATTGAAATGCAACGGTGGATCGGCAGCGCAGAGCTCGGCGATGCACATTTTCGACGAGTTTCTCGGGATAGAGCATCAAGGTGACGCAAAGTTTTCATGTTTTAATTGAGGCGACTTCCTAGTGTACAAGTCAAAAATAAATCCGGGGTAATATACCGTGAAATAGAAGAAAAAAATAGAAGTGCGCCCTATAGGAGCATCGTGTAGTCTAAGTTTACTCTCAAATAAACGCTCATATCTCGACATCAGTACGTTTGTTTCTACGCGCTTTGGAATCAAATTAAAGTAGAGAGAATGGGTGATATTTTGAGATATAACACGTATTTTTAGCGTTAACCAGCGCTTAGAAGAAAATGATTGAAAATCGACAAAAATCGGCTCTTTTTTGCCACTTCTCAATCATTTTTTGCTTCTATACGTTTAGGTATCAAATTAAAGTAGAGAGAATGGGTAATATTTTGAGATATAACACGTATTTTTAGCATTAACCAGCGCTTAGAAGAAAATGATTGAAAAATGAGAAATCGGCTTTTTTTTGCTAGTTTAACCAGAATGAGAAATCGGCTCATGGACAGGAGAAAGTTGTTGTTGTTGTTGAAAAGTTGTTGTTGAAATCTTTCGAGTCTCTGATAGCCGATATATAAGCTCCAAGTAAAGTTTATAAAATGGTACCTCTTGTCTCACTACAGTATACCAGAAAATCTCAGCCGGCAAGACCGAACAGCTTTATAATGTTTAATTGAAGAAAATGGTGTTCAATTTGTTGACTCCCTGTTGTAATGAGAGGCTTTATGAGAGCTTAAAGTCTCAAAAGCCAAGAGCTTAAAGCGAATTAACTGTTCAGAAATTGATATTAACAAGTTTCAAAGTTTCAGGTAAAAGTAAAGAGTTTCTGCTTGAGCAGCGCCTCTCAATGCCGGTTCCGCATCGAAATCTCATCAAATGGGTTTCCGAATTTACTCCTTTGAAACAAATGAAACATTTGGATGAATACCGAGAAGTGATCGAAACGGTGAAGAACTTTCGAAGTGGACATATCAGAACGGTGAGTTGGGGTGAAGGGTTATGATTTGTTCAGATTAACAAATGAGAGAACAAATGAGCGACCTAAACTTTATGCAAAGTCAAAGTTATGTTTCCACCTAGCCGACTCATTGCAATCATTGAAAGTTATTTTTATGGTAGTAATCTTTCAAATTCACAGAGGATTCTGTGATTCAATTATCATTGAAATAATGGTGAGTAATATGTCTTTGAAATGCTAGTGAGTGGGGCAGAAAGTGGAGCAGAAAGTGGAGCAGAAGCTGGGGCGGTAACTGTATAATATTGTTATAACATTGTTATAATATTGTTATAATATAGTATAAAATAGTTTCTACAGTATTTCCTCATTGTATTTTCATCAATTCTGGATATTTTGCCAAACAGATCCATTTCCCAGAGCGGCAAGCACTTGAAAAGATTCAAGTTTCAAATTATTTGAGTAAGTGCACGTTAGAAATAGAATAATCCAGTTGTGTAATGTAGGGTTGCCGGGTTTGATATCCAAATTCATTAGCATTGTTTTGGATATCAAAGCAAGAAAATTCTATAATGTAAATCGCTCTCTTTAAACAAAATTCAGGCGACTCTTTCATCGTCAATCAGCAACCAAAAGACAAGCCAACTATGGGCACCGGGGGGACACCGTTTATGAAATTTTTGAAAGAAGTTCGAGACGATTGTGAGCCAAATTGAAGCCAATAATTGTCGATAAACTTATTCCCAAAAATCAAATCGCTTTAATCTTTGTTGCTTTCTCATTCGCAAATAATTAAAAGACACTTCTCGTTTTCTTTACAATTCAAAAACCCACAAATTGATTGCTCATCAGTTTCTAAAATAGAAATTGTAAAGAAAGCACAAAAAAGTTAGTTTAACAAGTTGATGCAAACATTTTTAGAAAGAAATTAGAAGAAAGTAGAGATTCGATTGAAATCTGAAGTCGAAAGTCGTTGAAGGTGTTGAGAAGGGATCGCTTGACGCTAAAAGTAGGTAATATAGCCATAGCGAAGTAAAATCGCCAACTTTTCCTTATCACCGGTCCCTTGCAAAGTGCCCGAACCGAAAATGTCCTCACTAGGAGCAAGCCGATGTTCTAAAATCTAAAAAATAACTGTAAAGATAGCTGTTCAGTCAATCATTTGATTGCTCATCAATTTCTAAAATAGAAATTGTAAAGAAAGCACAAAAAACTTACGAGTTGATGCATTTTTTAAAGAAATTAGAAGGAAGTAGAGACAAGAAGAAAGTCGATTGAAATCTGAAGTCGAAAGTCGTTGAAGGTGTTGAGAAGGGATCGCTTGACGCTAAAAGTAGGTAACATAGCCATAGACAAGTAAAATAGCCAACTTTTCCTTATCACCGGTCCCTTGCAAAGTGCCCGAGCCGAAAATGTTCTCACTAGGAGCAAGTCGATGTTAGCTGTAAAAAAAATAACTGTAAAGATAGCTTTTAAAAACAAATATGATTATAATGGTTATCAGAAACCAGAATTTTAACAATACTTTACAAGAATGTACAAAAGTGTTGGCTAAATTGAAACATTGAAACTGAGAACTTTCTGAATTCTCTCTGTTCTCTTGTTCTCTAAAAACTAAATTAAAATTAAACTTGCTTTGAATCATATACTATATCATTTTAAGGCTTATGCACAGGTTTTTCAGTTTCAGCTCAGGCTTTCAGGTCGGGCACCAGTGCAGGAGCCGGCTCTGCGTGTTGTCCGGGTCGTGTTGTCCGGGTAAAACACAAGCCCTCTCATTACGATGGCAAGCTTGATTTTGTAGCGATGAAATTTGAAACACAATCTTTTTTCTGTGAAAATTTCTTTGGGTGCAAACTTTTAGATGCCATAGCACTAGAAAAACCTTTTCGATGAGAATTTTGGAAGTTTATTTTATTTTCCGCATAAGTTTAGCTTATTCTAGTTTTTTTAAATTCACTTCTTTCAGTCCTTTAAGTCCTTTACAAGAATGTGCAAAAGTGTTGACGAGATTGAAACATTAAAACTGAGCAGTTTCTGAATTGTTCTGAATTTAAGGCTTATGCACAGATTTTTCAGTTTCAGCTGACACGGGCACCAGTGCAGGAGCCGGCTCTACGTGTTGTCCGGGTAAAACATAAGCCCTCTCATTACGATGGCAAGCTCGATTTTGTAGCGATGAAATTTGAAACACAATCTTTTTTCTGTAAAAATTCATTTATTTTGGAAAATTTTGTATGCTATAACACTAGAAAAACCTTTTTTGATCAAAATTTTGAGACTTTATTTTAGTTTAGCTTATTCAAGCTTTTAAAATTTTCCTTTTATTCCAATTACTTTACAAGAATGTGCAAAAGTGTTGACTAAATTGAAAAATTGAAACTGCGAACTTTCTGAATTGTTCTCTGAAAACTAAATTAGAATTCAACTAAATTTTACTGATTAATATCAAAATATTAGGTCTTTTCGTCTCCTTTTCGTACTTTCGTTGAAAAATAACAAATTCATCAATTAACTTTGCTCAAATTCAAAGTATTTCAAAGTATTTGATAAAGATTACTCGATTTTATAGAAGTTTCTTTGAAAGTCGGCGCCATTTCAGACTTTGAACCCAATTCTACGCTGTCCAGAGCGTCTTTTCATTCCTTTTCGTACTTTCGTTGAAAAACAACAAATTCACCAATTTAACCTATGATTTCCTCTAAATAAAAAATGTTTATTGTTCAATTTTCCATCTTTTTAAGTCAATTTAGATTCACTTTCAAGAAAATTCGAAAGGGAAAATCGTGTTTTTCGCAAAAATCTGCAAAAACCTCTACAAAGAAATTGGATGAATGAATTTCTCTGAAAATTTGGGTAGATACCTAACTTTTTGTGCTCCATCTTTTATCTATTGCCACGAAGATAGGTTTCCTTAGCTAAATTTTCTAAATCGAATCATCGAGCTGTCTTTTTGACTACCCGACTTCATGCTCTCAAAAAGACCCAAAAATAAGACATTTGAAACCCATTTTAATGTTATTTTGCAGAAAAATAATTAAATTTTTTGCTGAAATAAACCGTAGTTCAATTGGTGGATTTATTGGTTTTAAACGAAAATATGAAAAGAAGGGACTTTTTGGATAGCTTAATATAAGGTAACAACGAACTGGCTCCAGAAAAGCTTCAGTGAATTACGATTTCAATTAGACCTATTGACCAATAGCGTTAATCAACAGCAAATCAACAACAAATGCACCAATGTCAGCAGATATTTCCCTTCACTTTTACCTTCACTTATAGGATTCTTTGAACTTGTTGAAAGACTAAAAGGCGAGTAAATAATCTGATAACCTCGTAATTATTAGGCTACCAAAGATACCAGCAAAACAGCAATAAGATGAGATTTCTGATTTTCAAAACTCAAGTCGAGTCACGGACATAAAATTAAAGAAAATTCGAATTTCTGTTGACTTGCCGAAGAAATAATTATAATTATCGTCATGGTGTTGATGTTTTTTTTGAAAAAAAAGGGAAAGAAAACTTTCGAACTTCACTTTGCAATGAAAAATTCTTTTCCTGCGTGTAGAAATCATTTTTTTCAGATCTCTTGAACTTTTATTTTGAATTAAAAAGTTTTTAAAAGAACAATTGTCAGATAAGGACACGATTTTATCCTCAAAAAACTTGAAACATTTATTTGGTACATAAGAAATGCGGATTTCAACATTTTCATAAATTTCCAACGATAGAAACCTGAAATCGATGAATTTTATAAACTATTGTTATATACTATTTGAAAGTTGTAAATCTTCTCTACAAAATAGGCAAAAACGTGTTTCAATTGATCGAACCATTGAAGAAATTTCGAGGCCGAAATTCTTTCGTAAGTTAGTTGGGTTAGTTAGTTAGGTGAGTCCTCTCCATATATCTTTTTAATATTATCAGCTGCCAAGCCTGCACTGTGCTCTTGTAGGAACTCATGAAGCATGACATGACGAATATGTCCCGGTGGCAGATTGTCGAGTGCAACAGAAGAAATGAAGAAAAATACCAAAAAATAAAAGCTGGAAGCATAATTTTTTCGCAATAATTTGAGGAAACGTTGAAGTAACCAAACCGCCTTTCAGCTGGTTCAATGCTGTTGTTTTTTTATCTGCGAGTCTCGCGAAATAGCCAGCAGTTTTCAAATCACCAACCCAATATTTGAAAGTTGTAAATCTTCTCTACAAAATAGGCAAAAACATGTTTCAATTGATCGAACCATTGAAGAAATTTCGAGGGCGAAATGCGAGTGACCAAAAAAGGAATCGAGTCACTTTAGGGACAAGTCTAGTGGGTTTGAAAACCCCACTTTCACAAGAGTTCGCTTTTGACTATATAGTGGAAAATGAGTGCCTTAAAATCATTATCCTAAAAATATCATTCAAAATAATTAAGAGTTGGGATTATTTCATGGGAAAACTTTGTTTTTACAATAATTTCTCTTTTTTGTGAAAAGCTTTTTGCTTTTGACGGTTTTTTGACAATTTTGAGGGTTTTGAACTTACGCTCTATCTAAATTTCTGTAAATGCATTTCCGTTAGACTTTTTATATAGTTATCCTTTTGAATTGATATATAGTTATCCTTTTTCTTTTAAATCTTCAATTTTGGGAAGCTAACCCTATTTTGATCACAATAAACTTGTCTCTAAAGTGACTCGATTCCTTTTTTGGTCACTCGCATTTCGCCCTCGAAATTTCTTCAATGGTTCGATCAATTGAAACACGTTTTAGCCTATTTTGTAGAGAAGATTTACAACTTTCAAATAGTTTATAACATTCATCGATATCAGCTTTCTATCGTTGGAAATGTATGAAAATTGAAAATCGTTGGAAAATTGAAATCCGCATTTCTTATGCATGTACCTAATAGATTTTTGCGTCACTTTTGACTAAGTATTTATAATTTATCGCTTATAAATTATAAACATTATTTATAAATATATAATATTTATAATTTATCGACTTTTCAATAATTTAACCACCAAATTGGAAACATTCACCTTGTTTTTTCATTTCAATT